CTCCCATGGCGGTTTTGCTTTTTTTGGAAACTGTTGTGCTTCTTGGTATGGGTTGTTTTTGATCATTTGAGGTTACCGATGCCATAGCTGTACAGTAGATAAATAAATGAAGTTCTTCCAGATCCGTACTCTGAGATATCGTTTGTTCCAAACACGCATTGGCGATCGCTAGAATCTTGTGGAAGGCTGGGCTATAGCGCATCTTTGGGATTTTTGGTCTTAAGGACGGGTCAGTTCCGGCGTACTTGACACGGTATTCGTCAAAACTGTTCTTCCATCTGATCTCTAGGTTTGATGGTGATTGCTCATTTGATTCTTTAACAGGTTGTTGTTCATCTCTACTATTGTTTCCATAGTCAGTATCTCGAGGTGACCACTCAGTTTGTTGCTCAGTAGCGTGTTCGGTTTGAGTAAGTTCTTCGGGAGGTTGTGAGTTTGCGGTATCAAGATAGTTTCTCACACTTTCTCTGATTTGATCTATGGTGGCTGCTGGGAGAAGATTTCTCTTTAAAATTGTTCTCCTCTGGTCGGCAATTCGTTGCGCACTTAGATGACTGAGATTTGGCATGGCTCTGACGAAGTCTTCATGTAGTCTATTGCAGTACATCGTCATATTGGTCTCTAGGTCCGTGACTATGAAGTATGATCTCATGACTTGGGTATTAATGTTTTTAGTCCACTTCATGCGTCTTTTTCCAATTTCCGGTTCAGTGGATGCAGCGGGTTGCTGCACAACATCATGATCCGGTTCGTTGTCCTGTTCAAGCGGTATGGGTCCGTTTCGAGGGAGGATGCCCCCATCTAATCCCTCTACGCGCTGATCATCATGACGGTTCCGAATGAGAGAACCAGCGTTCAATTCTCTCCCGCCCCGGGTTACGTTTCTTGCGTCGAAAGCAGCACTAGTAAAATCACGATACGTCGAAGTGCTAATCCTCGGTACCGGTATGGTTTCTTCCTCTCGTGTTGGCCCAGTCATTGTCTCTCCGCCACCAGGGTTGGGTACCTGATCTTGGATAAAACGCAGTCTGGTTTCCGGGATCTACCGAGCCATAAGGCAGGAGGTACGAGTAGGAATTGAGTAGAAGAGGCTATTTGAGCCGCTTCACTACCCCTTTTAGACCCCTTACACTATTTATTATTATTATTATTATATACATATATATAATATAATGTAATGATATATGTTAAGGCTTTTCACGGGCCAACGACTTCCTCGCTACGTCACTGGGTCAACCTATGCTGAATGAACAACCTATGCCAAATTTGAACAATTAAAAAAACACGATTTTAAGTAATTTAAGAAAAGCTGCATCTATTTTAAATTAAAACTGAACAGGTAACAATGCTCAACCAGTCAAATGTCAAACCATAAACTGCTATATTATAGGACATAGCGGAGTATATCAGTGCGTAGTATGCACCCAAAAGATCCTATTCATTAACTGAGTCTCTCAAATTGAGGAGTGCGTAATAACCTAAGGTAATAACCCTTAAGCTTGATGTTCTTGCATCCGTTGTCCGACGAAACGATGATACAATATTAATTTTATTGGTTGCATTGAAAGGTTTCGATTGGTTAGAAAATGTTAACCAATCGAAGCTTTTAAATTCAACCAATAAAAGTGTCGATAAATTCATCCGGGAGGTGCATGTGGGTTATCACTAGAATATTTTTCAAAAATAAAAAATGTGCGCTACTGACTTTTTTCTTTTGATATCAAAATTGTGTAGGCCGTTTAATGCCAATTAAAAGTGATCTCTTGATATTTTGTCGAATTCGGTCTTCTTGATGAGACAAACGCAATTTTATTAATCACAATTAATAAAATTAAAATTAAATTAACAAATTATATATTTTAACTAATTTATTATTAAATATTATTACTATTTGTTATTATTACTATTAACCCAACCTACAGCAATTTCAAATAAAAAAATAATGTTATCTAAGATAATTACTAAAAACCTAATTTTAAAAAGTTTTAACATCCTGTAACCCTAAAACTATGAATTTCCATACCCATCTTTATAGGAACATTTTTTTCATATTTTTTTATGATGAATCAATGAGTACTTATTTAAAACATTAGCAAGTAAATAATATTATTTTTTTAAAGGTTGCTATTAGACTTGGATCGAGGCAAATTAATAAAATTGCGCTTATCTCATCAAGGAGACTGAAATCGACAAAATATCAAGAGACAACTTTTATTCGGCATTAAACTGCGCATACATTATTTCGATAACAAGAGAAAAAAGTCAGTAGCGTACATGTTTTTTTTTAGAAAAATATGCCAGTGATAACCCATATGCACGCCCCTGGTGAATATAATAATAATAATAATAATAAATAGTCTTTATTGTAATCCATAAGTATTACAAAAGGCGAAGTTGAAGCATTGCTTCCTATCTTAACCTATACATTTACAAAAAAAAACATATAATATACATTGCATAATCAATCCTATAAATTCATAGAGAAAGAAACCCTGCTACTTTTTCCAAAAAAAAAGAGCTACAATAAATTCAATTACAAAAAAAAGACAACAGTCTATCTTAAAGTTTACAATTAAACCGCTTACATCCAACAAGCACCAACCAAAAAAAAAATAATAAAAAATATAGATATGTGATATAATGTACTTATCAAGAAACGTGGCTTATTATCAGTCTTTTAGCTTCCAATCTGAACTTTTCAGGCGGGGCACTTTTTAAATTGATAGGGACATCATTGTAGAGAGCTGCTATGTTATAGCTAAATGACCTTTCAAAAAGGGTCGTTTTATGCTTAGGCGGTGTTAACAAGAATTTATGCCGGAGATCTAGATTGTGCGCCTCAAATCTAAATTTTATTTTTTGGTACAAGTATTCAGGTTGTTTTTTAAAGATGATTTTATTATAAAGGACTAGACTATGTAATCGTCTTCTCTCACTCATATCTAGCCACTTAATTTCTTTCAGTTTTGCGCTAATGCCTGTATCGTATTTTCTCAACCCAGATATCATTCGCACACAATAATTTTGAATATACTGTATTCGCTTTTGGTCACGTGACAGTAAGCATGAACTGTAGAGCACGTCACAAAACGTGAAATGTGACAGAACAAGGCTGTCACAAAGCATTTTCTTCATGTTACTGTTCAGCAGGTGTTTACTCCGATATATTAATTTTAAATTAATGAACGCCTTCTTAATACAATTGTCAATATGCTCTGTAAACCTTAAGCGAACATCCATGAATAACCCTAGGTTTTTTGCCACATGAGTACATTTCAACACTTCATTCTCCAGGCTTATTTTGACAAAATTTTCATGTCTATCTCTGCATTGGGACCGTCCAAAAAGTAGGAGTTGGCATTTTTTTGGATTTAGTTCCAGGGAGTGCGCCTTAGAAATATTACAGAGGAGAGCCAAATCAGAGGATAATTTCTCATTTGCTACTAAAATTTCGGAAGGAGGGAAGGACAGGTACAATTGTGTGTCATCAGCATATAGATGAATAGAAGCATATTTTAAATTGCAGGTGAGCTGAGACGTGTATAGGGTAAATAGCAATGGCCCAAGTATGGAACCTTGAGGCACACCACTTGTAACGCATTTAGAGGTAGATTGTTGTCCTTGGATTTTTACTGCTTGACTTCTTCCAGTGAGATAACTTTTGATAAGTTTACAAGCATCGTTTTTAAATCCCAGGTGTTGCACTATAGCCAGAAGTAATTGGTGGTTTAATCTGTCGAAGGCCTTAGAATAGTCAAGCAAGACAAGTGTTGTGAGTTCACCACGATCCGCTGCTTGCAGTATGTCATCCGTCACCTTTAACAGAGCTGTGGCGCAGCTATAATCTCTGCGAAAACCGGACTGAAAAGAAGGTAATAAATTGTATTTATCAACATAATTTCTGATCTGTTCCTCTAGAATTCTTTCAACTATTTTGGACATAGTGGGCAATATGCTTATAGGCCTAAGTTCCGATAGTTGGGTGAGCGATGCAACCTTAGGAATTGATAATAAAAAGGAACTTTTCCAGATGCTTGGGAAAGAAGCCGTTTCAATGCAGTAGTTTACCAAGTGAACAATAAACGGAATAATGTAAGGACAACAACTTAATATCATAGAGAGACCAATTCCATCCATTCCTATAGCCTCTGATTTAATAGAAAAGAGAGCAGAACAAATCTCATCAGTTGTGGCTAAGTGGAAATGAAAATCTCCGCTACCTTGTTTTATATTATGTTGGGAGAATGCCAACATGTCAGGATCCGAGGCTGAAGAGTTTGAAGAGTTTATGAAGAACATATTTATTTCTTCAGCGTTCATTCTTCGAGTTGGGGAGGGACAGTAATCCTAACAGATTTAGTATGAATGTCAAGTTCTTTAAGCAATTTCCAATTATTTTTAGAATCTCCCAGCTGAAGGTTGTTTTCAAGATAAACTTTCTTTTCATTTTCTATGGCTATAGACACCTGGTTACGGAGTTGTCTGTAGCATTCCCAGTTGTTGGACGTTTTTTGTTTTTTATATTTGGTTAATGCCTTATCTCAAAGACGCATAAGGCTATTTATATATTGAGTCAGCCATGGTGTGCGTTTTTTGGTCATTCTAGCATTTCTAATAGGGGCATGTTGATCATATATATAATATGTCGACACTTTTTTAGCTTTAAAGTATGTCGCATTTACAGTAACTTTTACCCTCAAAATTTCATTCGAACCGCTAAAAATACTTGGAAGAAAATTAAAATTAAAATAAATCGAAAAAATATTAAGACTTTAACACCCTGTAACTACGAAACAAAGCAGAATCGGACCTATGTTGATATGAAAAATAAATCCTATGTTTACGCGAGGAACCTCCCCACGAGATATGGCACATGTTTTTTGAAACACCCTGTATATGATCTGACCAGCTGTAATGTATCTGCAAGTAATTTATCTATAGTTCCATAAAAGTATATATGATTTAGGTATAATTAGTATGCTAAGAAATTTTAAATTTACCTGGAATCAGTATGATTATCCTTAAGGTGGTCTATTAAGTTGCGTTTTGTCATATATTTTCTTTCGCAGTGCGCACAAGCAAACCACTGTCGTTCTTCCGGCGCCACGTGAACTTCCTCGTGTCGACGAAGGTGTGTCATATGTCGTGTTTGGTAGCTACATATAGAACATCTATAGACCTTTTTCTGCGATTCATTCATCCTAATAAAAGAATTGCCTAATAATAGTCTATTCCCTCTGATAAAGAGTTTTCCTCTAATCTTTTTCACAAAATATGCGCTCATGTTAAAAACATTTCATAAATGTACAGGGTGTTTCTAGTTTTCAAATAAATTGCCCTAAAAAAAGCCCTGTTCCAAAAATGCCATTATGTCATAATCTATGCTGAATGGTTTTTGAAATATGAGCATTCATATACCAAATTTTCTGTACACCTAAAGATCTACCAAAATTATAAAAGAGCAGATTGTTTAAATTTTTTAATTAAGTAAATATATTAAAATTCACTATGCTTCAGGATATATACAAGTAGGGTCAAAACTAAATGTAGTATTTTAATGCTCTATTTCAAATAAAAAATACTATAGATCATAGCAAATAAACTTTTAGTTGCGTGATTAAGCTTGGCCGGCACAGGGTTGCCCGTTACCTTATAGTGATCTAAGCGTCTCTAAAAGACTTGAGCCCCCCCCTAAAAGTCTATTTCTAGTTGCGCCACTGATCCAGACACAAAATTCCTTTTTGATATTACCGATTCTGAACCATTTTGGAACTCTACAGCGCATGCGAAAAGCAGCGCATGCAGATGAAAAATTGCCACAAATTTCCTTCTAGGCATGTATATTACAATTTTAGGATGGTTTAGAATCTGTAATAAAAAAACGAAGTAAACTAGTAGTGAAGGTTGGTTGGTTGCCAAATCAGCTAGTACATTATTCGGAGTTTAAGCGTAGTTTTGGTTTGATTTCCCTTTTTTGTAGAGGAACTCAAACAAAAGGACTCTTAAGTTAGGTTAATGACTAGCCATAGATCTAGCAATCAAACACGCTGCTTCACTCTTTTTTTTCGGTTTGTCTCTGTTTTTTTTTCTCTCTTCAGAATTTTAAAGAGAATTCAGTGGGAATGGCCATCAATGTCTTTCCTTCTATCTCTGTCAAATCAATTCATGTGTTAATGTTGTTAGGAAACAAAAATAGATTAGTTATAAATATACAGGGTTGTTCACCACATACGACACGGAATATTGTAGCTAAACGATTCGATTTTTGCAAATTGTAAGGTTTGGGTTCGTTGAAGGACTATTAGAGCTACAATTTAAAAATATTTTTACAAGATACAGAGTGTCCCAAATAAATATAAAATATCAAAGTCGTATTTTTTTAAATGGAATACCCTGTATATTATTACATTTTTAATTTCTACGATTAAAATAAAGGTAAATTTAATTAAGGTTTATTGCACTTAAACCTTACCGTTTTTGAAATATTTTCAATTTTGTGAAATTGCAGTATAAATTTTAAGGCTTCATTTCTCCGAGGGTATCAAAGTTTTTAATACTAAATATTTACTGAAGTTTATTTATTGATCAGTTATTGTGTTGCAATAATAAAAAATTTACTCCCTTATACAGAGTGTCTAAATATTTATTTTAAATAATTATTAGCTTTAAACGGCCAATAACTTGTTTAATTTAAATGGAACACCAAATTTTTAAAGAGTTCAGATACTAATATTGTCGATATAGTTTGTTTATTTCTTTAAAAAATAAAAAAAAACTGTTTAAATATTTGTTAAAGAGGACCAATTAATATGATTCCAGTATTCAAACTACATTAATTGACTGTTTGCGTTGATTAATAATAATTGCTTCAAATACTAAAAAAATGAATTATGTATGTGTATTAGACAGTGTGGTAAAAAAACTAACACCTTAAAAATGTTATTTCATTTTTTGACAAATGCTTATTTATAACAACAGAGACGTTCATTTTCATAACTTATTATTATATTTATTTCTGATTCAAATCCACATTTATTTAGAATAATTTATTAACGAACACAATTAAGTATGTAATTAATTAGTATTTGGACGGAAATACTGGTGGTATATTTAATTAAAGGTACACTCTTTTATAAAGACTTAAATAATTTTCTTTTTGCATACAAATGGGCTAGTAATATTATCGTTTTACTAATAATATTACTAGTCTGTACATGTTGTACATTTGTTGTTTTAAAAACAATCTAAAATGTCAATATTCCATGGGTATATTGATAAATGAGGTCTAAATTATAAGAAAATGTATTTTCTATGAAAACTTGAAGGAATAGGTAAAAAGTGGTATAATACAATTTGATAGACAATTAAATTGTGCATCTGATTCTCATAAAATATACAGGGTGTTCCATTTAGATTAAACAAGTTATTGTCGTTTAAAGCTAGTAATTATTTAAAATAAATTTTTAGACACTCTGTATAAGGTAGTATAATTTTTATTAATGCAACACAATAACTGATCAATAAATAAATTTCAGTAAATATTTAGTATTAAAAACTTTGATACCCTCGGGGAAATGAAGCCTTAAAATTTATACTGCAATTTCACAAAATTGAAAATATTTCAAAAACGGTAAGGTTTAAGTGTAATAAACCTTAATCAAATTTACCTTTATTTTAATCGTAGAAACTAAAAATGCAATAATATACAGGGTGTTTCATTTAAAAAAATACAACTTTGATATTTTTTATTTATTTGGGACACTCTGTATCTTGCAAAAATATTTTTAAATTGTAGCTCTAATAGTCCTTCAACGAACTCAAAACTTACAATTTGTAAAAATCTAATCGTTTGGCTACAATACTCCGTGTCGTATGTGGTGAACAACCCTGTATAAACAGTTATTATTTACATCAACAAAACATCTCATAAGGAACATAAAGATCCATTAATATCGCTTTCCCGTTCAAAATGTCAAAAATAAGGTGTCGATGAGTTTTTTGCAACGGCTATTAAGCTATCTTATACACTTCGCAGAACAATCTTCGACTGCTCTGCTAGTAAAAATGTTTAAGCTTAAAGTATTACAACACAATTCATTTATACCAAAAACTCATAATACAAAACTAAAGTGTCAAAACGAATGACAATGATAGGAAATAAATAAATAAATGTGGTAACTTGACATTTTTTATAGCAGAACTACCACCTGAATTGCCAGCGGAAAATTTAAATTCCAGTTAGTCAGCACGGCGCCGAATATGTCCATGGTTGGCAACAATGACTTTAAAAATCGCGCCCTCGATTACTTTACTAAAAGTTTAATTGGTACCGCTTATACAGGATGTCTCAGAAATAAGTGCAGATATTTTAACTGATAGTATACCGGGTGCGTCTCAAAAGTGGCTCACCCCTATAACTTTTTTATCTTTTCAGATAAAAAATTGAGATTTGGTATGTTAATATATGACATAAATTAGGATTGATAATCAATTTTTTTCTGTGACTTCCTGTTTCGTCGGAAATGACTACAACTTTTGATTTTTACATGGTACCCTGGGTTTTTTGTTGCTTTATTCGATAGAAAATGATACCCTGAATAGAATGACATATCATATGTCAACTTTGACATTTTCGAATATGGTTTATTAGAAATTGCAACATGCGATTCATAACGACAATTTGACTCGAAATACCAAGTGTGTGGTACCAAATTATTCGTAAAAAAAAGCTTTTTCCAAATGTGCTAATGAGCCACTCTCGTTCCATTTGAAAAAATTGAGATATGATTAAAAATACAATTTGGGTAACTTTTAACCAGCCAGGACAAGACACGAATAACATTAGACGATCAAATCTATTTTTCCAAGGCTCCTTGATTAAAAATAAGTATTTTTAACACAGTCACTCTAAGATTTCTAGATTAAAATTTAAAATTCAATTTTATTTTAAGCAAAAATGTCAAAAGTTGACATATGATATGTCATTCTATTCAGATTTCCTATCGAATGAAGTAAAAGAACTGGCGCTGGGAGGCACGTATAGCCGCCAATACTAAAATATGTTAATAAAAAGTTGGTAGGCAGTTCTTTTAGTTTCAAAGTAAAGGAATTTTTCCAATTTTTTTAATTTCAAAAACTGCAACTTTGACTGATTTTGATGTTATTACAAATTTTGTTGCAAATATTATTCCTAATCTTAAATTGAAAGTTGCGTTTCGCTAGCTACTGTAATTTTGGAGTTACGATTTTTAAAAATGTTTAACCCCCTCCAATACTCCCTTTACAACCCCCCACCCCCATCAAAAACTAATGGCCAGATTCTCGGGTGCCACAGTATTTTTGTGCCAAATTTGGTTATAATCGGTTTAGAGGTTTTTGAGTTATCGTGTTACAGACGGACAGACAGACACCATGAAAATATTTTGTATTTATAGCCGGAGAGCTGGCGACATATTTAGAGAACATATTTTAGGCAAGTTAAAATAACAAAAAAATTAAAGGTGAACCCAGAATCCTAAGTCGGGCTGGGGGTTTGCGGTTATTTTGCTACTGCGCAACCCCTTATATTTGCAAAAAAATAAATCCAAAAAATATCCTTTAGGCAACTTGAAATTTGATTATTCTTAAATTTTAGCATCTATTTAATCCAGAAATTAGTAAGCCAGACTTTTTTTTCGCGTTTAAAGTGTAACCCGACCATCCCAAATATGTTGAATTATTATACATCGAAAATATACTTTAGGCATTCTAAAATTTTTACAGCGTGTTTATTAGATAATATTAAAAAATATTTGTTAATTGCCAGACGAATTCAACGGATTTTAATACTTGCCTGACGCGAATAGAGATTTTAAATGAGCGCGACAAAGAAGTCTTATGAGTATTTATAAGCGCGAGAAAGATAGTTTATTGAGAGACTCGTCGGCAGCAGACTCGGCTGACGTAATGGTAGGTATACATTGGCGCGCTGCGCCACGAACGCGCGGCTCGCGCGCACCCATTCGCCTGTTATTGGTACGTGTTTTCAAGATGCGCGCGCTCTGCGGGCAAACAGCTTTCCGCGAACCATCTCCAGTCGGTTTTTCGACGCTCCGCTTTCTATGTTCGTTGTTCAATTGGGACGGCCACCGGCCGGTGAAGACACCGCGCGCATTAATCAGTGACTATGTGTGTTTTCTTTGAATAAATTACCTTTTTTTTG